GGTGAAAAGCGGGGGAAAATCAGGGTAATTCAGGAAAAATAGAGGGAAAGTTTAAGGAAAAATTGGGGGAAATTCAGGGAAAAATCAGAGGAAGTTTAGGGAAAAATTGGAGGAAAATCAGGGAAAAATTGAGGGAAATTTGGGGGAAAATTGGGGGAAATCGGGGGAAAATCAGGGGAAATCGGGAAAAAAATCTGGGGAAATTTGGGGAAAAATCAGGAAAAAAATCAGGGAAAAATCAGGGGGAAAATCAGGGGGAAATCAGGGGGAAAATCAGGGGAAATTTGGGGAAAGATCAGGGGAAAATCAGGGGAAGTTTAGCAAAAAATTTGAGAAAAATTTGGGAAGTTTGGGGAAAAATATGGGGGAAGTTTAGGGGAAAATTGGAGAGAAATTGGAGAAAACTTGGGGGAAATTTGGGGAAAAAAGCAGGAAAATCGGGGGAAAAAATAGGGAAAATTGGGAGAAAAAGCAGGGGAAAATTGGGAAAACAACGGGGAAAGCAGTGGGAAAATGGTGGAAATCTGGGGGGAAAAAACAAGGAAAAAAGCAGAAAAATTGTGAAAATGTGGGAAAAAAGTGGGGAAAAAACTGTGAAAAATGCAAAAAACCTCAGGATAAAAACAGGGAAAATTGGGGAAAAAAAGGGGAACGTGGGAAAAAAGTGGGAAAAAAAGTGGCGGAAAATTGTAAAAAACTGGGGAAAAAATTGGGAAAATAGCAGAGGAAAAAGTAGAAAAATTGTGGAAAAAAGTGGAAAAATTGGGAAAAAGTGGGGGAAAAATCAGGAAAAAATGGGGGAAAAAATGGGAAAAAATTGGGGAAAAAAAGGCAAAAAAAAGTGTGAAAAACCTGGAAAAAATGCAAAAAGACCTGTAAAAAATCAAGAAAAATTGGGGAAAAATCAGGAAAAATCGGGCAAAATTGGGAAAAGTTTGGAATAATGGGGAGAATTTGATCTAAAGACATAAATGTGTATTTTTTGTGTTCCTGTCAGCGCCGAGAAGCGGCGGCGCTGCTCTGCTGGGGGAATGGGGAAAAATTGGGGAAAAATTGGGGAAAAAATAGGAAAAAATGGGAAAAAATTGGGGAAAGAAGTGGGGGAAATGGTGAAAATCTGGGGGGAAAAAAGCAGGGAAAAAAGTGGGAGATAAAAGGGGGAAAAAAGGGAAAAAAGTGGGGAAAAATATTGTAACGAATGTAAAAAAAGCAGGATAAAATCAGGAAAAATTTGGGAAAAATTGGGGAACATGGGGAGAAAAGTGGGTGAAAAATGGGGAAAATTTGGGGAAAATAGGGGAGAAAAAACAGGGAAAAAGGCAGAAAAATATGAAAGAAACGAAGAAAAAGTGGAAATATTGGGAAAAATAGTGGGAAAAGAACCTGGGAATTGGGGGAAAGTTGGGATAAAGAAATAAATGTGTAATTTGTTTGTTTTGCAGCGCGGAGAAGCGGCGGCGCGAGCAGGAGCAGCGCTACCTGGCCGAGCTGGCCGAGCTGCTCTCGGCCAACCTGGGCGAGCTGGACTCGCTGGGGGCCAAGGCCGAGCACGGCAACATCCTCAAAAAAACCGTGGACCAGATCCAGCAGATCACGCGCCTCGAGCACGGTGGGGCCACGGGGAGCGGGGAAAAGGGGGAAAAATCCGGGGAAATATAGGGAAAAAAATTGGGGAAAATTTGGGGAAAATTGGGGGGAAATATGGGGAAATACGGAGGGAAATTTGGGGAAAATACGGCAGGAAATTTGGGGGAAATGGGGAAAAATATGGTGGGGAAATTTGGGGAAAATCAGGGAAAATAGCAGGAGAAATTGGAGGAAAAATGGGGAAAAATTGGGGGAAATACAGGGGAAAATTGGGGAAAAGTCAGGGAAAATATGGGGGGAATTCGGGGAAATTCAGAAAAAATTGAGGGAAATTGGGGAAAATATGGGGGAGATTGGGGGAAATAGGGGGGAATACGGGAGAAAATCGGGGAAAAATATGAGGGAAATTTGGGGAAAAATTGGGGAAAATTTGGAGGAAAATTGGGGAAAATATGGGGAAATATGGGGGAAAATTGGGGAAAAATCGGGGAAAAATTGGGGAAAATTGGGGAAAAATCGGGGAAAATACGGTAGGAAATTTGGGGAAAAGTTGGAGAAAAATTGGGGAAAAATCGGGAAAAAATTGGGGGAAAGTATGGGGAAATATGGGGGAAATTGGGGAAAAAATTGGGGGAAATACAGGGGGAAATTTGGGGAAAAATGGAAGAAAATGGGGGAAAATCAGGGGAAACTCGGGGAAAATACAGCAGGAAAATGGGGGAAATTTGGGGAAAAATTGGGGAAAAATTAGGGAAAATGGGGGAAAAATTGGAGGAAAATTTGGGAAAATATGGGGGAAAATAGGGGGGAAGTTGGGAAGAAATTGGGTGAAAATTGGAGAAAAAATGGGGGAAATTTGGGGAAATTTGGGAAAAAATGGGGAAAACATGCGGAAAAATTTGGGAAAAATCAGGGAAAGTATGGGGGGAAATTGGAGAAAATATGGGGGAAATTTGGGGAAAAATCGGGGAAAAATTGGGGAAAATACAAGCGGATATATGGGATGAAATTGGGGAAAAAATTGGGGGAAAATCTGAGAAAATACAGGGGAAATTGGGGAAAATCGGGGAAAAATCAGGGGAAAATTGGGGGAAATTTGGGGAAAATTGGGGAAAATACGGTGGGAAATTGGGGAAAAAATTGGGGGAAAAACAGGGGAAAAATTGGGAAAAATTGGGGGAAGTTTGGGGGGAAATCGGGGGAAATTTGGGAAAAAATGTGGGAAAAATCGGGGAAAAATGATGAAAAATTGGGGGAAATCTGAGAAGAAATCGGGGAAAAAATGCAGAAAAACCTGGGAAAAATCAGGAAAAAATGGGAAAAATCAGGAAAACTTGGGGAAAACTGGGGAACAACTGGCAAACGTGGGAAAAGAATAAAAATGTGTAATTTGTTTGTTTTTCAGCGCGGAGAAGCGGCGGCGCGAGCAGGAGCAGCGCTACCTGGCCGAGCTGGCCGAGCTGCTCTGCTGGGGAAATGGGGAAAAAAGAGAAAAATCAGGAAAAAATGGGAAAAATCAGGAAAAATCAGGAAAAATTGGGAATAATGGGGGAAAGTTGGGATAAAGAAATAAATGTGTAATTTGTTTGTTTTGCAGCGCGGAGAAGCGGCGGCGCGAGCAGGAGCAGCGCTACCTGGCCGAGCTGGCCGAGCTGCTCTCGGCCAACCTGGGCGAGCTGGACTCGCTGGGGGCCAAGGCCGAGCACGGCAACATCCTCAAAAAAACCGTGGACCAGATCCAGCAGATCACGCGCCTCGAGCACGGTGGGGCCACGGGGAGCGGGGGAAATATAGGGAAAAAAATTGGGGAAAATATAGGGAAAAAAATTGGGGAAAATTGGGGGAAAATTGGGGGAAAATATGGGGAAATATGAGGGAAATTTGGGGAAAAATTGGGGAAAATTTGGAGGAAAATTGGGGAAAATATGGGGAAATACGGGGGAAAATTGGGGAAAAATTGGGGAAAATCACGGAAAAATCAGAGGAAATTTGAATTGGGGAAAATATGGGGAAATATGGGGGAAAATTGGGGAAAAATCGGGGAAAAATTGGGGAAAATTGGGGAAAAATCGGGGAAAATACGGTAGGAAATTTGGGGAAAAGTTGGAGAAAAATTGGGGAAAAATCGGGAAAAAATTGGGGGAAAGTATGGGGAAATATGGGGGAAATTGGGGAAAAAATTGGGGGAAATACAGGGGGAAATTTGGGGAAAAATGGAAAAAAATGGGGGAAAATCAGGGGAAACTCGGGGAAAATACAGCAGGAAAATGGGGGAAATTTGGGGAAAAATTGGGGAAAAATTAGGGAAAATGGGGGAAAAATTGGAGGAAAATTGGGGAAAATATGGGGGAAAATAGGGGGGAAGTTGGGAAAAAATTGGGGGAAAATTGGAGATTTTGGGGCTTTAATCCCAGTTTTAGGGTTGGGATTTGGGGATGTAGTCCTAGATTTTTATGGGGTTTTGGGGCTGAAATCTCAGGTTTTATGAGGTTTTGGGGCTTTAGGCCCAGTTTTAGGGTTTGGATTTTGGGATTTGGGGATTTAATCCTGTTTTTTATGGGGTTTTGGGGCTTTAATCCCAGGTTTTAGGATTTGAATGTTGGGATTTGGGGCTTTAATACCAAGTTTTTATAGGGTTTGGGGCTTTAATCCCAGGTTTTAGGGTTTGGATTTTGGATTTCAGGGCTTTAATCTCAGGTTTTAGAGTTGGAATGTTGGGATTTGGGGCTCTAATCCCAGGTTTTAGGGTTGGGATTTTGGGTTTCGGGGCTTTAATCCCAGGTTTTAGGGTTGGAATGGAAGGGGGATTTTCCGGGAGCTGGGATTTCCTAAAGAGAAGGATTGGGATTGGGATTGGGACTAAGATTATGGTTGGCATTAGGATCAGGATTAAGATCAGGATCAGGATCAGGAATGATTAAAGTGAATCTTGGATCCCAACTGGAATCCTGGGATTCTGGGAAAAACCAAGGTGGGACTCTGATCCCAAATGGAATTTTGGGGTTTGAGAACCCAAATCTTGGATCCCAGGTGGAATTCTGGGATTCCAGGAAAAACCAAGGTGGGACTCTGATCCCAAATGGAATTTTGGGGTTTGAGAACCCAAATCTTGGATCCCAGGTGGAATTCTGGGATTCCAGGAAAAACCAAGGTGGGACTCTGATCCCAAATGGAATTTTGGGGTTTGAGAACCCAAATCTTGGATCCCAGGTGGAATTCTGGGATTCCAGGAAAAACCAAGGTGGGTCCTTGATCCCG